AGAGCTGGGGGAGCTTTGATTTTCCATGATAAAAACAAAACAAAACCCTAAATGAAACACCAAAATATATAGGGATTTTGAATTTATTATAGTGATGGAGGCAGTGGTAGGCTTCCAAACTGCTTTAACATTGTAAATCAGAGAGTCACAGACAACGAGCATTGAAGGGACCTCGGGAGGTCACATCTAGTCGAACCCCTGCTCCAAGCAGGACCAGCCCCGACTCCATCATCCCAGCCAAGGCTCTGTCTACCCCGGGCTTCAAAACCTCCAAGGATGGAGACGCCGCACACCACCGGGAAAAAGGCATGCCCCAGGCACCAGCATCACTAGCACCTTCAGACACCCAAAGTCACTAGCACAGGGAAGAGCCTCTCCGAGGCAGCCCCGCACCCGAGCAGCTCCCCCCAGCGTGCCCGCGCCTGCGCCCTGCTTGCTGCTGTGCCGGGGGGCGAGGAAGTCGACCCAACCCCCGAGCAGGAGGGAGACGGGACGGGGCACGTTTCCAACGCAGGGCGGCTGGGGGAGTGGGTGTCCCCCAGGCGTCGGAGCTCCTCATCAGACTTCTTTCCCAAACCATGCCCTTGCTGGACCACTTCTTTGTGTGGGTGTCTCCAGGACGTGTCATCCCCTCCATGCATTTACCACCCAAACCCAGTCCGGCTGGACGGCTCGGTTCCTTCCCCACAGCTGCTGCCTCCTCCTCCTCTGTGGCCGCTTCCTCTGCTCCAGGAAAGGCCACTCGACCCCATTGGGACCCTGGCCCCATCCTGCCCTCCCCTGGGGCACGTGGCCTCTTCCCCATCACCTCCCCACCCTCCTCACCTGAAGGGACGGCTGGTCCCTGTTGTGCCTCTGGGCACGCTCTGTGGTTGGGCTCTTCGGTCAGGCAGGATGTTTCCAGGCCCCGGCTGGCTCCTCATCCCGGTCTTTTTGCTTCCTGGGGGAAGCCCCATCCTCTTTCAGGTGCTTCCAGCCTATGTCTTGCTGCAGCAGCCAGGTGGTGAGGGCTTGGGTAGCTGGTGCCGTCCTGAATAACCAGCCTGGGGCACGGAGCAGAGCAGGGGTCTGGGCCTGGCACAGGGGGGCCAGGCTGAGTGGCCTCCCCTTACCATTGGGACACAGGGCCAATTGCCCCCAGGCCCTTTGTGGGCATGTTGGTTGCACGTGCAACCCGTTACAGGCCCCGTTGCATCTTCCCCAAGCGATCCCCATTGCTGCTTGGTGCCCCTCCACCCGTGGGGCAGCAATGCCTCTGTGGGGCTGGTGCCAGAGGTCGGTGCCGGGCCTGGCTTTGTGTAGTCACCTAAATGATCAGAGGTTCGGGGCAGGGGCAGGAGGCTCACGGGGGCAATCAGGTTGACCCCCTCACGCTCCTAGAGAGAAACAGCTGGGAAGCGCCAATGCTGGGAGCGCGGGGAGTGACCTGGATGGGAGCCTGAGTCTCCGTCCAAGGCGAGCCGTGCGGTTTCGGGGTGTGATGGGCCATTGTGCTCTGCTGCACTGCCTGGGGTGCAGCCTCCATCCTCGGCATGGAGGAGCTTCTCCAGGGCAGCCAGATGCTGTCTGCCAAATGCCAGCCCCGGCCAGGAGCTGGTCTGTGTCCCCAAACAGAGACATGTATATTTGCATCTGGCTTAATTGCAATGCGTTCTCACTGCTGTCGTCATTCGGTTCGGCTGCTGTTCAGTGTAATGTGTTCAGAGATGGGGGTTAGATGTCAGGGTGGGAGCTGTTCTTGCGGAGGGGATGGCTGATGATTTGGGTCTGGCTGCGTGCTGCACAGGGTTGTGTATTTGGGAGAGCGAAGGGATGTTGCCAAAGTGCTTGCTTTGCATGCTGGTTTTGATCTGTTGCTTAAGCACTGGGACGCAGGGACGCTCAGAGCAGTGGGTGCCCCGATCCCGGGCACGCAGCATTTCTGCGTCGAGCAGAGCGCATTATAAACCTGGGCGGCCGGGTTTGCGCAAGGCTGGCGCTCGCCGTCGCAGTGTCACCAGCTCGTGTAAGTGACCAGCGACCCGTGGGTGCTGGGTTGAGTCCTTCCAGGGAGCAGTATCGGGCATTGCCAGGCCAGGGGCTTCCCTGTGCGGGGTCTGCCGGGCAGCGCGTGTTGCTGTAGGTGCACAGCACCGGTGCCTGCAGCAGGCGCTCATCACAACGTCGTCGTTCTCCACCATCCATCGCAGTCGCATTTAGTTGGTGTGTGGGCCTAATCCTGGTATTGTTGAGCTCAGAGGCAAGATGCCTCCCTCCCCGCACGTGCGCCGTGTGTCTGCCTTGTCCCAGGTGTGTGGTTCATGTCAGCTCGCTTGCATTACTTGGACATCCATCTTTCCCGCTGAACGCCCGTGTGCTGGGTTGTACCAGGGATGCTCAGCTCCACCAGCTCCTTGCTGCTGGACAGTAACGTGATATCGGATGCCCTCTATAAAGGGATTGTAGTGGCATGACGGGGGGTGTAAGACAGTCCCCGTGGCTGGTGTGGGGTGCCCCTCTCCCGGTTCCCAGGAGGAAGCATCCAGATCGTGTCCTGTCCTATGCAAGGCTGAGCAGGCATGTTCCCCTGGCTCCCGCGCGCGTGCAGCGCACTGTCTGCGTGAGCTGGCGCGTTTCCCAGGCCCGGGAGCAGGGCGGGAGAGGAGGAGGTGGGCAGGGTTGCCGTTGCAGGGAGGAAGGGATGCTGGCGGTGTAGGTGGAGATCTTTGCCTTGACTTTGCTCCTGTCAGATGGGCTCGTGCAGCCTCCCCGCTCCCTGTGTATAGTGTCAGCTCTCGCTGCCCTCTCCGCGGGCTCCTGGGCAAGCTGCGCAGGGCTCCCGTTCGCCGGGCCAGGCGATGCGCACGGCTGGGTGGTGGGGGCTTGGCGCAGAGGGAGACGGACCCTCCTGAAACGCAGGGCAGTGACGAGGAGAGTCGCTGGAGTTAAATAGCTTCCAGGCCTGACCCCGAAGCCTGGCAGCTTGTACTGCTGCACGTTCCCCCAGTTGATGCTAAGGCAGCCCCACGCCGCGTGCATCTCTGGGGTCAGGGAGAGCTCAGACGTGCCCTTCCTGTCTGCTGGGAGAGGGATCCCGAGCGACTGAGCAGCTCCGGTATCACTGGGGGGGTCCCAGGACCCCAGTTCAGACCAGCCCCATGGTCCCAGACACCGAGCTTCACGGGGTGCCCCAAGGAGCTTCCTAGGCCAGACAGACGCCAGCTGGGGGGGGAGCGGAGGCAGAGGATGGGGCTGCGCCTCACCCTGGTCCCCGGCAGATCCAGCGTAAAGGCAGGAGCTGAGCCCTGGTGTCCGAGCCCGGGCTCCAGCCGCCTCCAGGGGCCCATGCTGCCTCTAGCCGCTCCCCGCACGGCATTAATCGTGGGCAGTGGATAGTAGTCAGATGCCCGTAAGAGGATTCCCCCTGTGCGTGATCTGACAGGGCCTCCGGTACTTAACCTTGACCCACACCCTTGCTGGGCCTGGGGCTGCTCCTGCGGCCCAGGCAGAGGGGTCGGGGCAGACGTTGCAAGCGTGCTCAGAGCTGCGCGGGTCGGTCGATGCCCAGCGCAGCGATGGGGCACTGAAACCCCCCGGGAGTGTCCCTGCATCGCGGGAGCCCTAAGACCCATGGCCTGGCTCCGGCAGCTCCTCCCCGGGTGCACGATACTTTGTCTGTAAGCGGCTTTTCGTTGCTTTAGAGCTGGGGAGATGATGCCGATCCCCTTCGCCGTGCCAGCTCTGCACGCTGCATCAGCCTCTCGCCGTGTGCCGTCACGCTGGGCCGAGCTGACAGCTGGTGCTTCCCACCGTTTCCTCTTTGTTATTTCCTGAGGTTTGATTACACTGAGACCCCGGCTCTAGAACTGAAACCCCCATGTTTGAAAAACAAAGGCGTTCCTCATCCACCGCTGGCAGCATGGGGCTGAGACTGGCGGCACGTTGGCAAGAAACTGGGCAGAGGAGAGGGCTCTCGCCGTGGACAGGATGTGCGGGCGAGCCCAGGCTTCCTTGCACCAGGTTTTGCAAGCGGCAGAAGAGGTGGCATTCAGACCGTGCACGGGAGCTTGCAAACAGCTCGGAAACAGCATAGCCGCTTCTCCCCCTGTCTAAACACCTGCAAAGTCTTGCCAAACGCTACGCTAGCCAGGCCCAGTGCAAGGACACGGCTTCTGCTGGGAGTTCGGTTGTCTCGTAGGAAGTGAGTTTTCTATGTATTGGCCTTGAAAGTTAAAGCATGTCCGCAAGAGAGAGCACATTGAAGGCTCGCTGCGAGCACTTCACGTATCCGGCCACGTGCCTGGTTTGGTTTTAATCTGCGTTTCGGATTTGAAATTCAGGTTAGGAAATACTTGTCTGATTTTTTTAGTTTGAAAAAACAAACGTCGTCCCCCACGGGAGCACCCCGGAGACATTGTGGGTGTTCCCCGGTGCTTTTCAGCACCGCTGCGGCACCGAGGCTTGCCGGGTACGTCATGGGTAAGGACTGTTCCCATCTTGCTGGTTCCAGCACTCTCGAGTTTGGGGCACTTTCTACATTGTTCTCAGGTCAGAAAATCAGCGCGATTGAGGCCAGGACTGTAAGAAAACGGAGTCGGTGATCCTGTCCTGGTATGGGTGTCTGGCAGTGGTCAGACGCCCACCCCTCATGCTCTGCATTTTCCAGGCTTTGTGGTTTCCAGGTTGTGCCGCTGTCCCTGCTGTCCCCCCACGGGGGTCTGTGGGGTCGCTGCTCCCCCACGGGGGTCGTCCTCCTCTCGCCGGGGCGCGGCCTTCGCCTCTTATCTGGGAGTCTTGTGCCCCGGGGCTGGGGACTGGTGCTCCGGCTGCTGGAGGGTGACGGGGAGCTGTGCAGTGCTGGTGGGGGCTGAGAAGGGCTTGGTTACAGGACATGGGACTTGAGGATGGTTTAACCAGGTGTGCTGCCGTGGGAAATGCAGAGGGGTCCGGGGGTAGCGTGTGGCCCCGTCTGGGGTCTCTGAACGAGTCTGTCGGACCCTGCCCGTTCCCCTGCGGGCTGTGGGTTTCTTCCAGGCCAGTGCGTTGGGAGAAGCACATTGCGCAGGTGTTAATGGGACACTCACCAGGCTAGCCTTTCTGCTGCAATTCGGCTGCCCGGTGACTCGCTCCTGGTAATGGA